TGAATAGATGGCTGAAGAAACACGCATCACACAAGAAAACCTCAAGTGATGCGCAAATGCAGCCTAATTCTAGTGATAATGAAGTTAGAGAAAATTATAGGCCTAATTATAAACGTTTAAGTGATGTGCAGCTTGGTATCAAAGAAAAGAAAAGAAAGACCCCTTGGACTCGAAAGTATTGTGATGAATATTTGAAGTATGGTTTTATAAGTGGTTGTAGCAATAATGACTTGACACTATGTATTCTTTGTTGTTTATCATTATCAAATGAGAGTATGAAACAATCGACACTGAAACGCCATATGGATACCAGACATCCAGAATACTCGAGTAAGCCAACTGATTTTTTCATAAATAAGAAAAATTAAATATTTTTTTCCAAACAAATAATTTCACGCACTTTTTCCACAAGATCTTCCAATGAAGATTTGGTTATGGCCCCTGACAGGTTATCCGTATGCTATTGGTGAAACGTTAATACTTCCTGCAGTAAAAATAATTACATCTCGTGATTATAAAAACAAGAAAACCAGCTGAATTTACTGTCCCTGTCTAATAATACAGTGAAGCGTATAATTGTGGATATGGCGAAAAATATTGAAAAAACTCTGATACGTCGAGTTCACTGTAGCCAGTTTTTTCATTACAAGTGGATGAAAGCACAGATATAGCAGATAATGTCAATTATGATTATAAGGACACAATTCGTGAAGATTTGTTGCTTTGTAAACCACTTCCAACAAGAACAACGGCTGACGAACTTTTAAATTTAATAAATAATTTTATAATGATATTCAATGGAAAAAATGTGTTGGATTGAGTACCGATGGTGCTCCTTCAATGACAGATTCCCATACAGGATTTTTCCAGAGGATCCGAGGAGTGGCACCAGACTGTGAATGGGTGCATTGTAGCATTCACAGAGAGGCGTTAGAAAATGCCCTTACTTTTGAATTCAACTATGCAAGAATGTGTTAAATTCATAAACTGTATAAAATCTCGTTCTTTGAATTCCAGAATCTTTACTGCTTTGTGCAAAGAACTAGGAAGTGAACACGAGCATATCCTATTACACTGTGAAGTTCGGTGGTTACCAAAAGAAAATGTCTTAAAAAGACTCATCGAAATGAAGAATGAAGTTATCTTGTTTTTGGAGCAACATCCCCCATCAGCAAAGGATGAAATATTTGAATTTAGAGACAGGTTTCATAATTTGCATTGGTTAATTAAGGTGGCCTATTTATGTGACATTTTGTCTTCTTAAAAATTTACAATTCCAGGAAAAGATAGTGGGTACGTCGGTTTGAGAAGAGAAATTATAAGTCTTTCTCTACTTTAACAGAATTACAAAACTAAGATGAAGAAGGTAATATTCCAGATGAGATTTCCTCATCAATCAAAGAGCATCTTTTGGGGCTAAAATCATGCTTGAAAGAATATTTTCTTTCAATTGATAGCAGTAAAATGTGGATCAGGAACCCTTTTACTGTTGACACGGAAAATGAGGAAGGATTACAACTCAGCGAATCAGAATTTAATTCTATTATTGAACTATCCTGTGACACCACACTGAAAGACCGTTTTAGTCAAGTCTCGTTCATTAATTTTTGGCTGAGCTGTCGTGCTGAGTAGCCAAATTTATCAGAAGAAGCAGTGAGATTTCTTATGCCCTTTGTCACGACTTACAAATGCGAATCAGGCGTTGTTTTTTTAAAAAAAAAACAAGTACACGAACAGATTAGATGTCGAGCCAGATTTGAGGATCAAACTGACTTCTTTTCTTCCTGATTTGAAGTTGCTGTGTGATGAAGAAAAACAGCATCATCCTTCTCATTAAGTAAGTTTATTTCTTAAAAGAGCATTAATAAATATACAGTTAATGTAAAGATTAAATAACAACGAAGTCTAATTTCTTTTTACACAGTAGTACAATAAAACACCTGTATATTTTATAATCGATGATTTATTGATAGAACTATTGCTTCCAGCTCGATGTTAAGACTTAGCCATGTCTTAGCGGGTTATCTAATTAGGTATTTGAGGAAACTGGGCCTCATGAAAAATTACAAAAATAAACCGGTCCCTAGTTGGAAAAGTTTGGGAAACGCTGTTCTAGTCTATCAGTTCACAATTATGGACCACTATACACAGATAACTCTTTGTGTAGATCTGCGCTGAAATTCTGAAACAAACAAACAAGCACATCATTAATTAGAATAGTTTAAAATATATCAATAATGATTTCTGGCAGTTGTGTTAATGATGAATTCATGATCAAACACAAGTAAGATTTTGACACACTAAAAATAAATTTCTGAATGATTGAATGTTTTATTTTCATTCAAAGTAAACTCTACATCGCCAAACAATGTAAACGTCTTGTGCTAAGTAAGAATCTAACTTATTCATGTGAATTTTGTTTATACGCACAGTTTTTTTATTTATGTTTCTTCTTTTTCTTTGTATTTTTCTTTGTAATGGATCTATATGACACCACTCTAAAACATCAAATGTTTTTAATTAATCCCTCTATGTTTCCACACTATCTAATTCATACATTTTCTTGAACAGTTTTTAACAGATATACGCTTAAAATTAAGAATTGCTGTTAAATTCATCCCAGACTAAAAAAGTATCTAGAAGGAATAGCCATTTTATACTTTTAGTAACCCTGTTCCAAAGATGTCGAAGAGTAAACTATGTACGTGTGTGCCCGTACAGGTACAAACACTTTTGTTTAAAATTCGTATGGTCTGAGTTTTCAACAATAGATTAAAAGCTTGTTCATCTCTAGTTAAAATAACGGAATAAAGTGTAAATTATTCATATATCATTATGCTGCTCCATCATGTACAAAAAGTTTGTTTGTTTGCTGTTTAAACACAGAGGTACCAATGAGCTATCTGTGCTCTTCTCACCGCTGATATCGAAACAAGGTTTTCAGCGTTATAAGCCAACGAACTTACCGCTGAGACACCAGGGGGGGCTATATAAAAGGAAGATAAATGTCGTGTCTGACAGTTTAGCAGTTATTACATCTCCTCTTTCTCTTACTCGTACACAGAATATTTATAGGTCAAATTTTGGTCACGAATTTGTTTTTTTTTTTGGGTACTTCATTTGATATCTATAGTAACAGCAAAACAAACTGAAAATAACCGTATTTTCTGTTTTAATGTTTTTTTATTCATTACTTCATTTCATCGCAAGTCAACTTCATTCACTATGTACACGGTCTCTTCCTTCTGATCATCATAAAACATTTCCCGGTGTTGAAAAGAAAAACGTACATTTCTTTCGAAAGCAGAAAAATAATGTACAAAAGTGAAAACATAATTAAAGATTTGTCAAAAGCACCCCTCAATAAAACTGTATTGTCTGCATATCCCGAATTGCACACTAGTTTAACATTAAGTGCAACTATGTGTTGTTCTAGCGGTATGTTTCGATACTCGTGGTGGGCAGAGCACAGATAACCCATTGTGTAGCTTTGTGTTTAATTACAAACAAACAAACAATGTGTTATTCTGTTGATCCCGATTTATTAGTAACAACTTGTTAATGATATAACTAGCCAGAAACGTCGAGAGCCAGCACGGGCCCCGGGGCAAACATCCTCGCCGGGCCACCTTTCTCTCTCTCTTTTTTAACATTTTCAAGAATTTATTAAAAAGATCCTAAATTAGGACAGCAACGAGCTCATAAACCAGACAAAATCATAACAGCAGCTGTTTTTACCTCACAGTATAAGCGTAAAAACGTTAATAAAGTAACAACAAATATCTATTAAATCTATAAAGTAACAAATACATATTAATTATTACTCAAATTATTATTTCAGTCGTTCTTAATGTATCAAGCGTCTATATGCAAAGAAAAGCCAAAAACTATGGTTTTTATCATTAAATGAAGATATAGTCTAAAGATGCTTTGCGGGCTTTACGGCATAACCAGGTTTCATTCGCCCGAGCCTCTGGGCAGTTGCCCCCTCCCTTGTCGGCGGGCCTGTAACTAGCCTACAGACGGTGTTTTTAACTTTTGTGTAATTGATGTTTTTTTCTCAATATTTCGCACAAAGCTATACAACGTACATTTGCGCATAGTCGTCTTTAATTTGTAACTAATTGACTAGAGGGAAAACAACTAGTTAGTTGTATCCACTGTCAACGCTTGGGCTACTTTTGTCTCGTGGAATGGTGGAATTTGGTCGTCATCAGCCCCAAACTGTGGAGTGCATTTCTATGCTAATGGTTGGCAAACCATTAAAATCCTTGGATTTACAATCCGGGCACGCTAAGTACTAGTCCGTGCCCTCTCAAATTACTCAAAAATCCCTGTTGACATGTCTTCAAAATATTTAACTTCTTACACGTTTCGTGTTAATATTACTATGTATGAGGCAGCTGTCGTTTGTCCTTAATGAGAAGAATTACCCAAAACTTCCATTCGATTGCTGATATTTAAAAATATGATACAAATTTGGATTGTATATATTATTTTTTGGGTATTCGCTCAAAGTTATTCAAAGGCTGTCTACGCTAGCCGTCCTTAATTTGGAAATGACAGACTAGAGGGAAAGCAGCTAATCAACAGCATACACGCCAACTCTCTGGTTACTCTTGTCTGACCGAACAGTGGGATTCGACCGTCACTCTTATAACATACCCAAGGCCTCAAAGCGTGGAGTTCATTGTTTTTTTTTATTTGTTTGCCGGTAATGAGACACGAATGACGACTCTACAGAACACTAACTACTGAGCAACGCTAGATCCAAAATTTGGGTTGACTTTTGATAATTGGTGATTGGGTAAGAAGTGCTGTCCTTCAATCATGCCAAATCATTAATAACAGGAAATTTGGTTAGTAGGTGATTAATAAAGGTAACTAGCGTTTACAAGGGCCTGCGCAATTGAAAAACAGGTTCTCTGTATTTACGTATACATTTATTCTTAGGAACAAGGTTCAGGTATTTTTATCTTTCCTTTATCGTATCCTATTTATTAAGAAGTTATTATGCTTGTTCACCTTCAGAGCTGCTACACAGCTGCGCACCTACGGAGTGTGAAAAACAAGTATATTAAGTTAACCCTAGTTAGTAAGGTAAGTGAAAGATTTGTGTTAGTTTTCCTGTTAAGTCACGAATTAAGTTTGAGTGTTAGATGCTAGTACCTATGATAAAACAAGAAAATAAGATAATCTAATAACATGTTGAAACACAAGAGTAGCAGCCAAGATTCTATTATACGAGGTTACTCTTCTCTGGTTATAAATGCCTGAAATTTGTTACTGTAGCCATGTTACGCTAACTTTGCCATTATACGCCGACATATACACGAGTTTGTTAATTGTTAAGCGAAAAGTTACACAGTAGGCTATCCATGCTCTTCTCACCACAGGTTTCGAAACCCAATTATTTCGGCCAGTGGGTGTAAGATGTTGCAGTTCTTTATAGTATTCTAGAGGATTGTGGAGAACCTGAAGACGAAAAAATGTCGAAACGTCTTCCTCTACACTTGTGGTTTTTTTTTTTACAACAGGCAGTTGCCGTCCATTCGAGCTTACTCATCATGAATACTCTGCCTAAACAATCTATCAAAGAACACCGTACTCATTGTTAAGATTAATAATAAGATACTGATTAGAATGTCCATAAAAAATATTCTCCTATTCAGTCCCTATTCTTACAAATGAGAGACTGTCAGTATTTTTAATCAAACTTCTATGATGTTTTTAAGCTTTTTGAGTACTGTTTCATTCATTACAAGGTTTGTGGTATTTTCAGGTAAAACTTATTTCTTTACAAGCATGCAAATAACAGGAGATTTGATCAAAAAATAAGGAGAGAAATCTGTAGTAGATAACTTGGCTTAGTTCCCTAAAGTGTATAATAACGAATCTAGACACATTTGAATCAATGAACAAAATATTTACTGAAACAAATAAATGGGAGTCACAGGTGCGTGCCTACATAGACTAAATAACAATATTTCTACTAGGTTGTGTTTAGCTCCACAGCTTTCTCTCTCTCTCTCAGAATTAAACTTCGTGGAACTAAAACACGTTATTTTTGAGACAAGTAGAAATCGGCCAAATAAAATGCGCCTGAATTCAAAGGTAAACTCGCTTTTTTTGTTTTGTCGACATCATTACTTCGTGACCTCTGTTTCCTCATAGTATTGGTGAGCTGTTATATCTAGCAACGTTATAATTGGCTAGCAAAGGTTGTTACAGTACCAGTCCTTTGAACCCGGATGTTATATATTACTACAATATCATCTCGGACAGAGGAGACATCACTTATTACGGAGAGCAAATAAACGAAGCAACTAGAACTAATATTAATGGTTGCCGCCATTACAGCACGGAAACTAAATAACTGAAAAGGCTTGAAAAATCTATATCACTAAAGCTGGTATATAAAATATATTTAATACCCTTATATCACAGATTTTCTGTTATTTTAAAATGTGATGAGTTACAAACTTATCAGTATTGATTGAAAAAATGCATGCTGAAGACGTCGGCTTCTGTTGTGAGTGTTTATATGGTATTTATCATACTCGCAATATTAAATTTTGAGGCAATAGCATCGAATATGTGGGAAAAAACTTACAAGTTGGGTTGATTTAAAAATAGTATTAGTGTTACTTTAGTTATATCATCATGTTAGTTTTTGTAACCTCTGGCCTGGCATGGCTTGGAGGTTATGGCACTCTACTCGCAATCTGAGGATCTTGAGTTTGAATCCCTATCACCATCCATGCTCATCTTATACGGTGTGAAAAATTCGGGACTTACAAAATTAGCGGACGATCACAAACTAGTTGGGATTAAGGTCGTAAAAAAATGTTTTTGTAATTTTCTTCTTTTCTTACGTTGTCATTGTGATTCGATTGTATAAAATATTGTTGTGGGTTTCGTTATACACATTCACAAATATCTTAAACAGTGTCTTATGTTGTAATAATTCAAATTGAAATGACTAGCTGTTATTTGTTTGAAAACGATCAAAACTTCTCACAAGACGTTAATATTGTGATTATATTTTGATAAAACGTGGTTTTTTATACTGTATTCTGTAACAGCTATGAAACAATAGTTTATAAACAAAATTCGCCTAAAGCAACAAAACAGAAGAGGTACTACGTGTTGAACATAAATTAACAATGTTCTCCAATTGTTTCTGGGAAGTAATTTGCATTTTTAATCCTCACATAGCAGAACGTCATTTTGAAACCTTGAAATACTCTTTTTAAATTAATGTTTTTCTTTGTCATTACTCTAATACACATTTCAAGAATATTCATGTTTCGCATATCGTATTTACTTCTGAAAGGAAAAACACAAACGGTAAAGCTTTTAAAAATGTGTACGAAAATTTACCAGTAAATTGTTAACTATTAATAATTAATCTTACCTGAAGCATTATATTCCACATTTTTAAATAATACGGTAACCTCTAGTGGCAGAGCGATAAGTCTTTGGACTTATAACTCTAAAAATAGGGTATCGATAATTTTTTTTATTATGTTTGGATTCTAAAACGATCGATAAAACTCTCACGTCGCGACTGGTATAGAGAAATCTATAGTCTTGTTTTTTTGTTTGTAATTAAGCACAAAGCTACACAATGGGCTATCTGTGATCTGCCCACCATGGGTATCGAACCCGGATTCTAGCGTTGTAAGTCCGCAGACATACTGCTGTGCCACCGGGGGGCAGCATTATATTTTCTCGATTACAGGTTCTACAAGTTAATTTGTAATAGTTCTATATAACTAACGACAGGCCTGACTTCACTGAAAAAAATACTAGAGTCACTTGTTTGATAACTTGTCTCCTATGTTAAGCATTTATCGTACCTAATACTTCGTGAAAAACAAAACCTCAAAACTTACAGCATCCAACCAACTGATACCAACAAGTAATGATATAATTATTGAGTTGTTAATATAGTACTTTTAAAAATACCGTATTGTTTGTTTGAAGTTGAACACAAAGCTACACAATGGGCTATCTGTGCTAAGTCCAGGTAAAAGTTCACTGTGGTAAATGAAATTTGATCTAATTAAGAGTTTTTTTCCCCGATTTGTAAAAAAAATCCTTACTTGATAGAAAAAAAATGAATATTATTTTCGAAATATGCGTAGCTGAATTATGGAAAATCTGTTATTAAAACCAAAACAATTTTATGAAATATGAATTCGCAGGCCAGTGTAATTAGTACATGATAGGCTTTGTTTTGTCAATGCTACAAGCGATAATAAGATAAATATCACGTTCCTTCCGGTGTATGTTCCATACGTTTTAATCGCGGGTAATTTTTTCAATTCAGCAATTAAAAGAAAAGTACAGAAACGATTTACCACTGTTTGTTTACGTTTTCCTTAAACGTTAATCTGATTTCACACCTTAGGAAGAATTAATGAAAAATAATCACTATTTTGCCATTTTTACTGATAGCCTAAAGATTTACAATGCGTATACGCTTTTCTTTATTACTATTTCAAATCGGACAAGAAACAAATAAATGTCAAGTGCTTAAGAATAATGGAAGTCATAGATGGAAGCTCTGGAAGAACAACATTATGATATGAAAAAAAAAGGTCCTAACCACGTTAATAATATCTTTCTTTTACTTAGTTTCTCAACCCATGGGTAGCAATAAAAACAGGTTCTTCATAATGTGCGAAAGGGTAACGAATAGATTATGTAAATATATATATTTTTTTAGTCAATACTTAATAAATCACATTGTTTTTGCTCTATACTAATTTAATGGGTTGCGACAAGCCATCCATATTTATATATGGGTTTTGAACCCAACACGATTGAATAGAAAATGCTGTACTAGCTGATTTAGTTGTTCAAAATGTAACTATTTATAGAACGAGATAGACCAAGTTATCATAATACTTGTAATAAATGTATCCAAAAATTCTACCACGTTTGAGAATTTTTAATTTATAAGATGTGGGTGTAGATTGTAATAACTGTTTTGAACTACTTTATACTGTAATAAGAAAAGTCCTAAAACTGGCTATCACACAGTAATCCCCTAATAAAACTGAATGTTTCTTGAATTTGTTTTATCTAATTATATGGATAAACGCCATGAAAGAAAATTTGTAATTAATACAACAATTTCGTTAATTAGTTGTGATTTCTTAATGACAGAAAGATAACCAACTAGTTTAGACAGAGAAGACCTACAACCGTCTAAGTAGCTCTGAGTAACCGATTTTATACTTTTTTTCAACATTTTATTAGAAGCTCTTGTTGTGTTTTTTTATATGTTTAATAATGTAGTGTGTCAATAGTTATGTTTTTTATTATAATATTTCTCTAAAAAATCTAGTTTTGATGCATAAAATTTCTTACAAGAGATTTGAGAAGAATTGTTAGTTTTGTATAAAACATTTCCATCCGGGAGTTCATATCTAAAAATATAAATCCAGAAATACAGTAACTTAGTTACAGGACGAAGAGTTGCGTTCTGTAATATACCACAGTAAATTTGTTTGTTTGTAGTTAAGCACAAAGCTGC